ACTTGCTCAAAATATATCTAAGAGCGCCTAAAAGTTCTTTAAGCAAGTAGATTTTTGTTAAGGGTCAAAACACTCTCGGTTTTCTTCAGAGTTCTTGCAGGGTAGGAAAATGTCAGTAGATAGGAATTTTTGCAGTTGGGTGAGTTCGTAGGTCGGCGATAGAAGTCTTGTAGGTGAAAGGAGGCAGCTTTCAACTGCTCTTAAATAGTGGACCGACCTTCGTTCTCGACAGCCCATAGTAGGTAGTTCTTTCTTGGAGATGACATCGAAGATGACTGTTGGTAATTCCGTTGCCAACCTTTCTTGTTTCACAGAGGATTGACGATTACTTACTGCCAAATAGGCGAAGATTCTCCAAATTTATGGAGATTTGGAAGGCTCAGAAGTATCTGGGAATTGTTATACAAATTTCCTTGCCCCTTCATTGGTTAGAAAATATATTCTTATCTCTAATAAGAATCAGCATCTTGGGAGCTGCAACAAAGCTGTGAGGTCCCCCCCACCCAGACTTTATGGCATCATGGAAAGAATAATGGTGGTGGAATTCCTTTTTATATTTGCCAGCCCTCTCGTTAGTCAGAAAATATATTCTTATCTCTTATAAAAATCAAGGCTTTGGGAGGCGATTTTGAAAGGAAGTAAAAATGGTTGGAGAGAGGATTGGAAAATTGGCTAGAATGTGAACTTGTAAAATATTGTACTCGTGGTTCTCAAATTAAATTCCAATACTACATATATATATATATATATATATATATATATATATATATATATATATATATATATATAAAATCTGTTAAGAGGCCGGAACAACAAAACGGACGTATATCAAAAAACACTTGATGCAGATACCTTTTCAAAAGAACATGCAATTTTAAGTAAATATAACAAAGGAGCAAAACACTTTATGTAACCACACAGAATTTCGGTTTGGAGTCAAATCCAAGGTTGTGTGTGGTTACATAAAGTGTTATTGTTCCTTTCCGACGGTTTTAAAAATTCTATATTGTATTACTAAAATTCTATATTTGTATTACTAAGAATTCTTTCAAGACTAAGTAGTATCAACATACCTTATCCTTCACCAATAGTAATTAGAGAAATATTACATCACTTTCTAAATATTTTTGGAATTTAAAAGATGATAATAAGACTCCTAAGGATAAATGGAAATAGTTAAAAATGACAAGGACATGTAGATCTTTATATGAACCCTTTTTTCTATGCTTACATGAAAAAATGAAAATTATCGGAAGCAATAAAAAATTATTAAATCAAAGGAATGGCTTAACAGTAAACTGTAAACATAATTTATCTTTTCCTTACAATTAAGTTCAATTTTAGAATTTGATTATGCTTTTTTATATATTTTAGTTGTACTGCGTTACAACATATGTGGCTTATCTTTCTATTTGTAAGATTAATTTGGATTTAATATTATTTTGTATTGATCTGCTGGAAGTATTAGTAACATCTTGTACGGATGTATTGGTATTTGGTTGCTATTTTTGACATTTTACATAGATTGGTTATTGTTATTAACATTTTATAAGAAGAATCTATTCAACAGTTGCATATTAATTTACCAAATAATTCTATACGTTTAAATTATTTACTAGTTTCTTTAAAAAGCTACTTATGTATCAACTATAGTAAATTTTATGTAGGAAACTCACAAAGCACATACCTCTCCAACTCATTTTTATTTTTTAGGTAATGGCATTGTCTAGTTTGCATAATTTATCTATTCATTTATGTATCCGTTTAAGTCTGGCTGTCATAAGCTGCCAATGTACGGGTCATAGCACATTTATAAATAATAATTTTCTAATGTTTGCTTCTTCGTTCAGTTTAAATTTAACGTAGGTCATATTTGATTGTTTAATCAGAGTAAATCACACAAACCTGATAACACCCTTTTTCTTTTTTCGTAAAAAGAGGCCGGATTTTGTTTTTAAATATAAATAAATCGTTCACTCGCCAGTAATTTACAATAGCCTGATGAGAGACATTGATACGCATCGAAACATGCTTTTCGGTGTAATATCCTAATATATATACGTACATACATATACATACATACATACATATATATATATATATATATATATATATATATATATATATATATATATGGACGATTCGGTTGAAGGCATGTCGAATCTAACGACAATTTCTTCTGCAAATGGAGACGCAAGTTCAAATAAGATTTCTTGAATATTCAGGACAGTGAACGAAAATAAATGTATTGTGTAAAGTAAATAGACCATCTACTTAAATAGTGATATACATTAAAATAACGTTTAAAGTAATAAAAAATCTGTTGAGTCATAAATAAAACAGCTTTAGAAATTGTTGTATATATATATATATATATATATATATATATATATATATATATATATATATATATATAATATTAGTGGTAAATATACATACATATTCAAAAATATAAAAAATATGTATATATGTACATACATGTATATTTTTATTTTTTAATAAAAATTCCAAGAGGATAGAATCCAGGTAGAACTCAATGTCCAGGACAGAGTAAGGATATAATAAAAAGGCTTAAACACTAATATTCCATGGTATATATATATATATATATATATATATATATATATATATATATAATTATTATTTATAAAAAATTATAACATAAAATGTTATAAAATCACTATAAAAAATATGGACTCTTTTAAGAATAGTAATTGTTGGTTATTGGAATTCATATCCGTATATATATATATATATATATGATATATATATATATTGTCACGTAGCCACGATTTCATTAACCATATAGGCGTTAGGCTAAAGTAAAATCTTAAATAAAGAAAAATTAGTTAGATATAAAAGAAAAAAAATAAATAAATAAATAAAAACAGAAATTTAATCCAATGCTTCCGACTCGTTTTGCGAGCGAATATATTCTATGATCAGCCATATCCTTCCTTTTTTCCCAAATTCTTTCTCTCCTTATCCTCTCTTTTACCAGCCAAGGGCCCGTGAACTTTGAAATGACCCGACGCGAGAGTGACCTGGTTCCAAGATTTTGCGGCTGAACATAAATTTAATTGAATTCCAGGCACCATCAGGGTCTCCTGCTTCGATTCACGTGATCGGAACGTACTGAGCATGTGTTGAACTTTTTAATTATCACAATAAACACTGCGTGATTTGCGCCCTATCCTCCTGCGTACCCGGTCAAGGACGAAGGAACCCACGTGACTGTCGTTGGGGACAGCGAAAACCAAAAAAGGATTTTTCAGTTTCCCTCTGACCAGCGGCAGTTGAACGTCGCTGGGCAAAAATCGTCAGACCGCCCACTGAGATGAGGAAGACAGCAAAGTCTGTCGACTAGGGATGGAAGGACTGCTAGGGAACTGGTCGACCCAACCAAATGCCTGTATGAAATGCTGTAGACCCTCGAACACTTGCGAAAAGAAGAAGAATCCAGGAACATTGTCGGCCGGCCAAGATACTGTTTTATCATCAGAACTCTCGCTTCGGCGAATCAAAACTTTACGTGAAGATATCAACCCGACTACAAGATAAGTTGATTCGTTTGGCTTGATCTGTTTTCATATATGTATGTATTCGCTCGCGCCTTCTATTCTTTAATGATGTCCTCCCCCTTTGTTAAATGAATGTCCTTTTTTTTCTTTCTTTACTCCGTTATATATATTTATAAATAAATGTTATATTTTGAAATCCATCATCTTGTGTCTGTTCTTCGTTGATTCCCTTGTGTCGCTTCCATTTCTGAGTGACGACCGAGAAAAGAAACCACTTTTTCCTTTTTTTTTTTTAGTGGTTCATCTATATGCTACAAGTTCGTAACAATATATATATATATATATATATATATATTAACAATTATAACAAAACTAATCATAAACCGCTACATAAATGGAATCATTTTTCGGTACTATCGGTGCTTGCTTCTTCAGGAGGTGGTGTGTGTGTGTGTGTGTGTGTGTGTGTGTGTGTGTGTGTGTGTGTGTGTGTGTGTGTTGGTAATAATTGTTCCATTTATAAATAAGTCAATAATTTATTATTTTAAATAAAAACAAAAAAATTCATGAAAATTTTACCTGCATTTCACATTTTGCTCAAAATTGTAAAAATGTTTCTTTGATTTTTTTTCTCGCTGTCATTAAATATATGTAAAAGCTTCGAAAACTATTGACTTTTCAATGAATCAACAATTTTCTGATCATCAGTCCAATACCCGTTCGCTTGTCACACACACAATATATATAGGATTAATACAAATAAAATCTGCCACTTAGATGATTGACGTAATATTTAGCACCTTGACTCACGAGTTTCAAGAGACGAAAATTTTTGGCAATTGTTCAGTCCACTCGTCAGGAGATTTCAGCAATTGACTGTCGTTTTTCTCATTTTTCGTTATCGTCTGACTGTATTTGATGTGGGCACATCGACTTAGTGTAATGGTTAGCAAGTTTGTCTCACTAGATCAGTTACGACTGAGTACTGAATTCGATCCTCACTGGGTGCCACGTACTTTCGGTCTTGTGACATAACTAAGCTATGCTTAGTAAATCACTATATTAACGTTGAAGTAAATAATTTAGTAATGGCTGCGCTTTGTTTTTTAGAAAACTGAAAAAAAAAAAACTTGATTGGAGAGAATTGGAATTTAGGGCAAGATTTCCAGAAAATTTAATCTGCGAGGATTCTCCGAATGGTTCTTGAGGAATCTTGTTGATGCCACGCCTCAAGAACAGAATTTCCACTATGTCAATGTGCGACGCCAACATGATAAAAATAAAATACGATATAATATTACTAATAATACATAAAAAGAAATAAAACAATTGAAATTAAAATGAAAGAAACACTAGCGAAACGCTCATGGTGATTAGCAATGAAAAGGTAATATCACAATTAATCTAAATTGGCATTTAATAAATCAAAACTGTAATTATCTATAATTATTTATTTTGAAGGTTTATTTTGTTGGTGAGATGGTGAAATCGTCGACAAGGCCGAGTGATTCCGGTGACTCGATAAAAATTAATGTTGTCCAGCTATCGCCGAATCCACCTGATGGAGGCTGGGGATGGTTCGTCTGTCTGGCTGCTTTTTACTGTAATTTCATTGTCATCGGATTACAAATGTGTTTCGGTCTCATTTATATCGGTTTGAGGGACACTTTTTATGACAGTGCTTCGAAGACCTCTTTATCCGGTGCCCTTTTCAGTGGATTCAATATGTTAATAGGTAAGTTGTATACACAATATTATTTTGTTTATTTGGGATAATAAAATGGTATTTTCATGCATAGTCCATTTTAGCATTTCAAATGATTACTCTGTCTAGTAAATTCGATGGTGTAGACCAGTGAATAACACGGGACATTAATCTTCATATTTAGCATTACATTTTATCTACTCCATTACTTCGTCAAATTTGGTGTTGGTGTGAGCGGCCCCGTCGACACTAGTCCGAAACATGGACCTTTCATTTTTCGTCTGCGTTATCTGAGAGACTGACTAACTCCCGTCTTGGGTATGACGATAAACTACAACCGCGTCCTGGGTAAGACGATAAACTACGTCCAACAGTAAGGCCTCTGATCAGGAGGTTTTGAGGAGCGTGGAACCACCTCTTAATTGCTGGTGTTCCCCGGTCCACCCTGACCCGGGGTGGTAGCATCTGTTAGGGTTCCAGCTATGAGCGAATATTTGATCCCCCAAAAAAAAAAAAAAATAAAATGAAAGTGTAAAAATAGGCTTAAATACCAGAAATACTTTGTAAAAAAATTTATTACCAGCAATACATTTTTGACAAAAAAATATTACCAGCAATACATTTTTGAAGAAAAAAATATTTCCAGAAATATATCTTTGAATGAAAAAATATTACCAGCAATACATTTTTGAAAAAAAACATATTACCAGCAATAAAAATTGTCAGTATTAAATAACCCATTGAGGTTGATATGCTGTAAAACAAACCAAACCAAACCAAACTGACTAACTCCCCAGGGGGCTAGGTGTTTATATAAATGCGTTCATTACAAATTTTTTTCGCGTATGCAAAACCGGATGCATGATTTTGCATTCGGCGCCAGGAAGTAACCTCAGATTCTTTTCCGCACATGGTTTCCATTGGTGTAAAATTAAATGCAATTTCTGTCGTGGCTTAGACACTACATGTGTAGAAGACACTGATTTATATTGCACCGCAATTTCCTGAACGTGACATAAATTATGAGACGTCTCTGATGCGAAAAATTATGCATTCGTAATGAAGTATTACTGATCGAAATGTTAAGTTTATTTGGATTTTAACTATTTTTGGTAAGTAAAAAATGAAATTTAATTCAACAATTATCGTGATCAATAAAATTTCAAATTTGAAACACGCGAGTAAATTTGTAGCCTCGTTTCCAAATTCAAAAGTTTTTGCATCAGATCAAAATTTGTTTTTGCAAATTCTTGCCATGACTCATCCGTGAGCGTTCGGGCGCATTGCTTACTTCCCTTTAATTTTGAACTGTATTAATAGTGTGTTCGAAATGTAATTACCGTATTTGACGACATATAAGATGCACAAGTGTATAAGACGCACCCCAAATTCAGCAGGGAATATCAAGAAAAAATTAGTAAAATTATTAGTAAATGGTATTTGTGAGGCTATTTTTATTAGGTATTATTTCTTTCTATCTATAAAAGGCAGAACGTGTGTGTGTGTGTGTGTGTGTGTGTGTGTGTGTGTGTGTGTGTGTGTGTGTGTGTGTGTGTGTGTGTGTGTGTGTGTGTGTTTTGAATGCACGTGTAACAATTTCGACGGATTTGCACCAAAATTTACATGCACATGCTCCAAGTTAACGGGAAGGCCAAGACCGACTTTGCATTTCCCAACTCCCATCGATAGTGGAAATAATCGATTTTTTCATGCTTCTACGGCAATTTTCATGTAGTTTTCGGCCATTTTCTACTGGCCAGAGTGAGAGCCTATAGCTGGCTGCCACGAATAGGCAGGAAGATTCTATTGGCCAGCGTGAGAGTCAACAGCTGACTGACATGAATGTTAACTAGCATCCTAGCATGCAAAAAAAAATCAATAGCTGCATTTATCACAAGTGGGAAAAATTTAAATCTGCATGGCACTTTACTCCAATTGGCTCATTCGCTTGCTTAAACTCAACGTTGATTCTGATTCCGCAGAACTGGGTTGGGTGTGAAAAAGTATTTGTTCTTAACATTCTTTTTTCATTCGGTTTTTCCAGTTACGAGTCCTTTTTTAAAGCTGATCGTTTTGTGTTCATTTTGTTTAGTTCTTTTTTCGTAACAGATTTAATGTTTAGTATCAAGCTAAGAAAAAATTCGTAGTGTGAGATAGGCAAGAAGTAAGGCATGTAGCAACATCAGCACGGCAAAGGGCATTCCTTTAAAGGCAAGGAAGGGCAAAAATATTTAAAGTCAAGTTATAGCGATTGCTGTATGAGTCGTACGATTTTTAATCAAGCACGGGCAAAGGGATTTTGGATTCCTTATAAATTTTCGATTAAGAACCAAAACACAACATGCCACCATCTAAAGCTTTCTTTTAAACAGGAATGTCAACGTTTCATTTTTTAATTAATTTGTATTTTTATCTCATCGCATTGATAAAAAACTGGTTTTACTTTCCGAACATGCTAATCTATTAATTAATTTGTATTTTTATCTCCTTTCATGTAAAACGCCATTACTTTCCGAACACCACAAGTCTTTAATTAATTTGTATTTTTAACTCATTTCTGGTTAATTTGATTATTTTTTAACTTGTATTTTATCTCCTTTCTTGTAAAACGCCATTACTTTCAGAACACCACAAGTCTTTTTTAATTAATTTGTATTTTAACTGGTAAAACGCATTACTTTCAGATTACCCATTTCTTTAATTAATTTGTATTTTATCTCCTTTCTTGTAAAACTTTTCAGAACACCACAAGTCTTTAATTATTTGTAACCTATTTCTTTAATTAATTTGTATTTTTATCTCCTTTCTTGTAAAACGCCATTACTTTCCGAACACCACAAGTCTTTAATTAATTTGTATTTTTAACTCATTTCTGGTAAAACGCCATTACTTTCAGATTACCCTATTTCTTTAATTAATTTGTATTTTTATCTCCTTTCTTGTAAAACGCCATTTTAATTAATTTTATTTAACTTTTCTGGTAAAACTTTCCGATTACTTTCCGAACACCACAAGTCTTTTAATTTGTAAACTTTGTATTTTTCAGATTACCCTATTTCTTTAATTAATTTGTATTTTTATCTCTTTCTTGTAAAACGCCATTACTTTCAGAACACCACAAGTCTTTAATTATTTGTATTTTAACTCCCATTATTTCTTTACCCTATTTCTTTAATTATTTTTATTTTTATCCTTTTAATTCTTGTAAAACGCCATTACTTTCCGAACACCACAAGTCTTTAATTAATTTGTATTTTTAACTCATTTCTGGTAAAACGCCATTACTTTAGATTAATTTTTAATTAATTTGTATTTTTATCTCCTTTCTTGTAAAACGCCATTACTTTCCGAACACCACAAGTCTTTAATTAATTTGTATTTTTAACTCATTTCTGGTAAAACGCCATTACTTTCAGATTACCCTATTTCTTTAATTAATTTGTATTTTTATCTCCTTTCTTGTAAAACGCCATTACTTTCAGAACACCACAAGTCTTTAATTAATTTGTATTTTTAACTCATTTCTGGTAAAACGCCATTAATTTGTTTTTATCAAAACGATTAAAGTTTTAATTAATTTGTATTTATCTCATTAAAACACCACAAGTCTTTAAATTTGTAAACTCATTTCTAGAATTAATTTTTTAATTAATTTGTATTTTTATCTCCTTTCTTGTAAAACGCATCATTACATCATTAATTTGAAACTTTTCTAAAACGCCATATCAGATTACCACAAGAATTAATTTGTATTTTTATTTCCGCCATTTTTTCAGAACGCCATATTTTCGCGAAACCACAAGTCTTTAATTAATTTGATTTTAACTCATTTCTGGTAAAACGCCATTACTTTCAGATTACCCTATTTCTTTAATTAATTTGTATTTTTTATCTCCTTTCTTAAAACGCCAAACACATCTTTAATTAATTTGTATTTTAACTCAAAAACGCCATTACTTTCAGATTACCCTTTTTTTTTAATTTTTTGTATTTTTATCTCCTTTCTTGTAAAACCCAGTCCTTTCTTTGTATTTTTAACTGTCTTGATGGCATTCAAAAACATCTTAATTTGTATTTTTAACTCATTTCTGGTAAAACGGCCTTTTGATTGATGAATTTCTTTAATTATTTTGTATTTTTATCTCCTTTCTTGTAAAACGCCATTACTTTCATTAACACCCCTTTAATTAATTTGTATTTTAACTCATTTCTGGTCTAACTTAATTTCTATAGCTATTTCTTGTAATTAAAAAACGTCATTACTTTCAGAACACCACAAGTCTTTAATTAATTTGTTTTTTAACTCATTTCTGGTAAAACGAGCTATTGTATTTTTATCTCCTTTCTTGTAAAACGCCATTCCATTAATTTGTATTTTTAACTCATTTTGGTAAAACATTAAAGATTACTTTAATTAATTTATTTTATCTCCTTTCTTGTAAAACGCCATTACTTTCAACAACACCACAAGTCTTTAACCATTTTCTGGTAAAACGCCATTACTTTCAGATTACCTTTTAATTAATTTGTATTTTATCTCCTTTCTTGTAAAACATCATTACTTTCCAGAAATTGGGAAGTCTTAATTTGTATTTTTTAACTCATTTTTGAATAAAACGCCATTACAGGCTGAATCATTTGTATTTTTATCAAAACATTCCGTTTTAATTTGTTTTTAACATTAGTGGTAAAACGCCATTAGCAAGTTCCCTATTTCTTTAATTAAAACTTTTATCTCCTTGGAACAGACCACCACAGGATTAATTTGTTTTTTTTAAAACCCAATCACTATTTTTGTATTTTAACAATCTTTGGCCTCTTTAAGTTAATTAATTTGTATTTTAACTAAAGCCAACCGTTATCTTTCCTGTATTTTACTTCAGAAACGCCTTATTTTCTTACCTTCATACAACAACACATAGTAACCCTCTACCTTGAATGGTTCTTGGGTCTTGCGTATTAGTATGAAAGAAATTTTTAGTTGGACAAAAGAGAAGACATGCTGTTAGATATAATGTCATTACTTAGTAAAGATAGGTCATTACTTTCCTGAATTTTTTTTATTTCAAATTCATGTGATTGAAATTTTTTAATTAATTTGTATTTTATGGTTGGAACAACTTTATTAAATTTACGAAAAATAGGAATTAAGGACTAATTTGTATTTTATCTCCTTTATTAAAACAGTTGATTAATAAGTTGATACTAAGCTGATTAATATTCGGACTGATCTTCCTTCGTTTGGCTATACAGCATTTGACCCTCATTTATTCTTTGTAAGTTGTCTTGTTATTGTTTGTAACATATTGTTCTGTGTTTTTGTATGTATCCGTTAGAACCGGATATAGGGCTGAATAAATATATTAAGTACTCATTCTTCTCTGTGTATCATTCATCTCGACGATACAACACAAACATAAACGTTTTTAATTACTATTCTAAGAAAAAAAATCACTGAAAAAAGATACAAAACTTATCAAGAGAAAATGATTTTTTAGTGAGAAGTTTCCTGCACTTGATTGAAATCCTAAAGGAAACCAAAGAGCGAAATATAGTTCTAATATCCTTAAATCTGATTCATTCTTTTCATCATTCCTTCTTCTACTCTGCGTATCATCTATTTTACGCTCTTTTATAGTAACATCAAGTGCCGATATCATTAATAAACAAGGATCTAGTAATAACAAGAATCAAATCTGTTTTCCTTCTGAACTGATGTCAGCAATAATCAGGGATGTAGTTGTATTAAGATCAGCTCTGTTTTTTATTGTTTTTTTGTTTTGCTTTTTTTGTGTGTTTTTTTATTTTTTGTGTTATTTTGGGGGGGGATTTTGGCTTTTTTTACCTTAACTTTAGTTCTATTCGATAAGGAGGATAAGATTTATTCGTGCAGAATTTATTACGGCCTTTTGCAATCTAGTTGAAAATTATCCTGATCCTGGAGGACACCAGAAATACGGAGTGGTAACAAAGTTTAACTCACACAACCATTAAATGCTTACGTGATTTTTCTCTTACAGGTCCCTTTGTAAGTGGCCTTCTCACCTTCTATAGCCATCGCAGTATCATCATTGTTAGCGCACTTGTTGCTTCTGCAGCCATGTTTATCAGTGCGTTTGCGACGCGAGTGGAAATGCTTATTGTCACATATGGCCTTATTGGAGGTAAGTAAATATCAATCATGGTGTACTACTGAAATTTGTTATTTACTTTTTTATTTATTTCTAGATCCCTGGGCTTATATGTTACATTTACATTATCTATAGCCAGGTTAATGTTTTCATTTTTGTTCTTACCATCACAACGTTTCAACAGTTTTGTACTCTGGGCTTCTTCAGGTATCTGTCAACGGGACAATAGCCTAGAAGATTGAGGCGTTGCTTAGTATATTTCGTGGTAAAATCTCTAGGCCAGGTAATACGGATAAACGCAAACTCACTGGGAAAAAGGACTAGCAATGACTGTTTAAAATAGTAAAAGGCTCTAGATCCACTCGAGTAGAGGGTTACGGTTAAAATGGTTATGCGGAATGAGTGGGGTAATATGAATGAAAGAGGAGGTGGTAGGAAATTTCGTGAAATACAGATGTTGTCAGATACTCTGGTACACATCATCTGTGATGGTTTTAGTGGTTTCGGGTCTTGCAACATCATACACCATTTCCACGGAAACCGAATTGATATTGATCAGATAACGGCCTGTGTGCCATCTGCCAGCTCCTAACCCACTGCGACTCCTCAGGTATGCTTCTAACCCACTTTGATTTCCCAGGTCTTCCCCTCACCCACTACAACTCCTCAGATATTCTATTAACCCACTGGGACTCCTCAGGCCTTCATCTAACCCATTGCGATTGCGCAGGTCTTTTATTAACCCACTGCGACTCCCCAGGTCTTCTACTAAGCGAATGTGACTCCTCAGGTTTTCCCCTAATCCACTACAACTCCTCAGATATTCTACTAACCCACTGGGACTTCTCAGGTCTTCCCCTAACCCACTACAACTCCTCAGATATTCTACTAACCCACTGTGACTCCTCAGGCCTTCATCTAACCCATTGCGATTGCTCAGGTCTTTTATTAACCCACTGCGACTCCTCAGGTCTTCTTCTAACCCACTGCGACTCCTCCGGTCTTCTACTAACCGAATGTGACTCCTCAGGTCTTCCCCTAACCCACTACAACTCCTTAGATCTTCTACTAACCCACTGTAACTCCTCAGATTTTCTCCTAATCCACTACAACCCCACAGGTCTTCTCCTAACCCACAGCGACTCCTTGTGTCTTCTTCCATCCCATTGCGACCACTCAGCTCTAACCCACTACAACTCAGGTTTTCTCCTTAGCCACTTCACTCTTCCATAAAAAATAAATTAAACACAGATTCTTGTCCTCATCATGAGAATAGAAAGGATAGATAATGATTGACTCTTTACTTGAAGATTATAATGTTCAAGAAATCATCCACGTGGGACTCATTCCAGAGAATTTCGAACCGCATTGAGACGAAAAGTAAATATTACTTCATTAAAGCAAAATTGCATTATGACTGTTATATAACTTTGAAAACTTTGCAGTACACCACAATATCTTTTATGATGAATGCTATTTGTGGTTACACACGCACATTTTGTCTTGAGACTGATTTAATTATAAATTAAGGTATAAGACTGGTATATTTTGTCTTTATTAAGATATAAGGCTGACATCAAGGCTGCTTTAACTATATCAATATTATAAAAATAAATCATATTTAATGAAGTCGTTATTTAACTTTATCCTATTTTTCAGGAATCTCTTTAGGGATGGTTTTCTTTACCGCCAATGTAATCGTCGGGATGTATTTTGTGAAGCGACGAGCCTTGGCATTCAGTCTCGCCAACTGTGGAGCCGGGGCCGGAATGTTCACTCTCAATTATGCAGTCACACAACTTTTGGAACACTACGCCCTGAGAGGAACGCTAATGATATTATCAGGGCTTATTTTGAATATTGTCGTTTTTGGCGCACTTTGCAGACCCGTAGATTGTCATATCGAATCTTCGGAAGAAACACAGGATACAAAAGAACAGCCAGGTAAATAATAATAATAATAATAATACATCACGGCGTCAGTCACTTTCTCACCGACATGGCATGGATTCCCCTTTGTCTTTTCTTAACGATAATATGTGACTTCGTGCTAGCATAGCTATCGACGGCCCCAAGGGTTCCGTCTACCTAATTTCACTCCGGTCTGATAACATCGGAAGTGTCCTCCTGACAAATCGAACCCGGGTCTTATGGTCTAAAAACTTGGTCACGTGTCCATAACGATACAGAATGATACCTATATACACGGAAAGCTAAAAATTTTAATGATTAATGAAAGAGCGTCCTGGATATGACAATAAATTACATCCGGAAACAAAGTCGAGAGATTGGAGTTTTGAGGAGCGTAGAACCACCTCAACTGGTGTTCTTCTCAGGTTCACCCTAACCAGGAGTGGTAGAGCCTGTTAGGGTCCCAGCTATGGGCGAACAATGAACAAAAAAATCAACAGTAAATTTTTAAATTAAAATTACCAACAGTACATTTTTATAGTAAAATTACCAACAATACATTTTTGAAGTGACATTACCAGCAATATATATCTTTTTTTTTTAATTACCAACAATACTTTTTTATCATCTACAAACAATAAATCTAAACATACATTTTACCCTGAATGTATAAAATTATGTAGAAAATATCTGTAGTTGAAGGCATAAAATTGCGTACAAAATATTTATATTTCGGTATTAAATAACCCATAGACGTGTTGATATGCCGCTAAATAACATCAACCAACCAACCTAAAGGTATAAAATTATGTACAAAATATCTGTAGTTGAAGGCATAAAATTACGTACAAAATCTTTAGATTTTGGCATTAAATAACCTATAGAGGATTGTATGTCTCTAAAATTCAACCAACCATTCACTTTCGCCCAAATATCCGTGGAAAATGGTCTGAATCCATCTCATCCCGCTGCAGCGTGGACTGTAGCCGTGGTTGGCAAGCAGTCTAGGAGAAACTCAACTCTGAATTCAACACTCAGCTTCCTGAAGCTGTACAAATATGCTTAAATAAATATGCTGATATTATGTCAATAAAAAATACTGTTATATTTCAACAGCTAAGGATAATCTATTGATTATCCAGAATACTGTTGACATCAGCTGTCCTTGGGCACAAGGAAGGTGTTAGTGTGTCATTATCCTTCTGCATGTAATACCTTTCACCGCCGCCTACACCCGATAGTTTACCCACGTTTAGTGGTCTGGTCCTCAGGGTCTTAGGACGACGCTTTGACCACGGTCTAACTCTGCGCTGGTCAATGCTAACGCTGGTCAATGCTGATGCTGATCCAAAGTGGCTGTGGGTCCCTGGCCGCTTCGATCCACACCGTCTCTGCCCATGTTACGTTCTTGATTTTGAAAATCAATAGCAGTGTAGGAATACAAAAGGCAATTATCAATTTGGTGGTGGTGAGGTCATCTGACCCACGTGACTTCATCTCGACCAAAAGGTGATAATTGCCTTTTGTATCCTTATAGCAGTAATAATTTTAGACAAATATATCAACGGGCAATGTCAAAGATTGTGGCCAAATGGACAAAAGTTCGTCTTTCGTTTAGTTTTCAGATTTCACTAGAAAGAAGCAACACCCAGTCTTCCCTATAGTGCTGTGAATGCCTCTCTCTTTAGAGTAGAGGATTTTACAAGCTGGCGTTGCCTAGTTACTACTATTTACTTAGTTAACTAAGAGACGATTCTGAGTCTGTTAAATATAAATCCTAAATTTATTTCCTGCAAAATAAATAACGGCTCAAAAGGATTTAATGATTAATTACACGGATTTTTTTTAAAATACAACTTACTTTTTACTTTAAACCTAATGAGAATAACGTTTCTTTACACGCGGTAGCATATAGGTTCAAAGGTTAAACAGAAACACTGTGTAATAACACCTCTGACTTAAAAAGCGCGCGAAAAATTAAAAATAGAAATTAAATAAATACGGAATACCAGCAATGTAATGATCAAGAAATTGACATTTATACTTAAAAATAAATTATCTTTAACCTTATATATATATATAACCAATAGTTTAAGAATATAATTTTTTGTTCTATAGGTTTTTATTAAAATTAGTAGAAGGAATAATTTTATTTTTATACATTAGAGTAGTTTTTTGAGTTTAATTTATTGCTTTTATTTTTTTATTTTCTTACCTATTTCATGCCATAGAATATATAATTGCACTCAATATGAGTTTTCAAAAATAATTCTAAATTTAAGAAAATGTATTATGGTTGGTACTAAAAAAACATGTATAAAATTGGTAGAGTTATTGAATTGGTAATGTTAATGTTACGTTCACCTTGATTTTTTTTTTAATAATTTCAGCCCAAGCAAGGCAATAAAGCCACTAAGACGCAAGAAATTACTGAGTCTTAGAGAATATGAGAAAAAACTACTATTAAAGAGAAGACAATAAAAGAATAAGAATTGGGAAAACAGAAGATAATTATTGATATTGAATTTAAATTTTTGAAAATCAAAATTGACTGGGGAACAAGAAACCGGAAGAGGGCTCTTTCTTAACAACTTCCTTGGCGTAAACGTGTATATACGGTTTTACCAAAAGTGTTTTCCTGACACGAACGAATAAACACGTCCATATCATCACGTTCAAAAACCAGCTACAGACGTGTCTATACGTCAATCTTTTCTTTTTATGCCCTTCTGAACTTGAAACGAGACCATTTGATAACTCTGGTAGAGGTGTTAGCCACCGCTTGGGTACTTCAAGTTTCTTAGTTACTATATTAAAACAAATAAAAAAATTCGTTTGAAAATGATACGTTTTTCCCAAAATAATTAGAGATAGTGATTTATTAGTCCTTGGCATCCAGTGATGCCTTTATTTTTATTTTGTCCGTAAACTTATTATATTGCTACATAACCAATTGTTTAGAATTTTTATTCTATATGGCTTTTATGAAACTTGGTACAGTGTAACCCGGATATAAGAGAGTTGTCGGGACCGGAGAAGAAGTCTCTTATATCCGGGTTTCTCTTATATCCGGGTTTGGTCTATTTTATATACTCTAATTTGGGACCAGATAAAAATCTCTCTTATATCCGGGTTTCTCTTATACCGGGTCTTTATATCCGTGTTACACTGTACATACATATATATATATATATATATATATATATATATATATATATATATATATATATATATATATATATATATATATATAACCCGGATATAAGAGAGTTGTCGGGACTGGAGAAGAAGTCTCTTATATCCGGGTTTCTCTTATATCCGGGTTTCGTCTATTTTATATACTCTAATTTGGGACCAGATAAAATCTCTTTATATCCGGGTTTCTCTTATACCCGGGTCTCTTATATCCGTGTTACACTGTACATACATATATATATATACATATATATATATATATATATATATATATATATATATATATATATATATGAAGGTGCGGATATAAGAGAGTTGTCGGGACCGGAGAAGAAGTCTCTTATATCCGGGTTTCTCTTATATCCGTGTTTGGTCTATTTTATATACATTAACAAAAGCTCTAATTTGGGAACAGAGAAAATCTCTCTTATATCTGGGTTTCTCTTATATCCGGGTCTCTTATATCCGGGTTACACTGTATATCGATACAAAAATAATGTAACAGCTGCTGAAAGGAAAAAATAAAATATATTTAAAAAAAAAACGGTTCACATTTGAAAATGGCATTAAACTTTACATTTTTCTATTCGTCAAATCTCGACATTCAGTATGCAGTTAATGAATAAGTACTAAACATTTTATTTGAATAGGATAATTCCCTAATTTTAAAACAGGGAATACCGATATTTTGGTTTAATTTTGTAAAAAAAATCATTCATTTTGGTGGTGCTTATTGTCAAGAATATGCATCTTTTAGGCCAGAAAATCAAATTATTCTACGATGGAATAGATCATTGGTATACGAGTAACAGGTCAGATTTAAGTTAATCCCAATTTCTGTATATTTTCTGAAATGTTCTTGAACTCATCTTCTTGGATTTGGATTCTTAAAGTTTTTTTGAAAATTTCAAAGTTAGATCGCTGCACATGTTTCTATTGAATATTTCTTTTCTGCTGAGGAATAAATGCTTTAATAATTTAGGAAAATAATTTAAAACGTTTAATCAAGGCATCGATATTCATGAAAAAATGATTACTTGGCGACTTAAAACGATTACTTGGTTACTTAAAACGTTTAACTTGTTGCTTAAAAACGATTACCTGTTTAGTGCCGTGTGACGCAAACAATATTCATTTGCAAAAGATAATTTTTCTTACAATCCAAAATATATTACGGCCTTAAGGCGCCGATATTCGTAGAACATGAAACGATTACTTGCTTACTTATGTGCTTCACTTTTATTGCCGCGTGTCACAAACAACAGTGTATTATTTAAACAAATTAGCCGCAAATAAACAACAGTAAGTTTTCATAGCCATCTGTCACTTATATTATTGCAATCAATACTTTTTATATTTAAATATGTATCGAAGTAATCGTTGTAAGTAAGAGGGTTATGTAGGGATTTCCCCAGTTGTGTGTGCTCGGCAGTGTATAGAGTGGAACGAAAAAAAAACGCAAGGCTTGAAATAATCGTTTAACAGCTTTTATTCGTTGCCGAAAGAGAGAGCAAAATAGTGGTATTTTGCGGGAAAAAAGTTGGGGTTTCTCAGTTAACACAGTTCTTCCATTGAGTAGACGTTTCGTATAGAGAGATTTCTCCGCTTGTTCCCATGAGGAACGAGAAATCTCTATGTCAGGGAATGGTACGGTTTTTATGCAGCAAGGGTTGTGAATGGTTTTTCCTTTGGATAAGTGTCTCGAAGGGAGATTTCTCCGCTTGTTCCCATGTGGAACTAGGAATCTCAGTTTCAAGCTGCCGAGATAGCCCCGTGCCTTCTGCAGCAAGAACTGTGAGTAGTTCTTTGAGCTGGCCTTGAAGGTAGTGGCAGCCGAAAATGAAAAGTGGAAAAAGAAGCTGAATAGGTATTGGTCAGCGTTTTATGAGTTCTGGGACTTCCTGTTGTTCCCCGCTGATTACTTCCGTTGTTGCTACTGCTGACTTACGCAAAGTAAGGAAGACCCCACAAGCCACAATAGCCAAGCGAAAACAGTTATTATAGTTAAACGAAATAAGTGATGCGCCATTTTTTTTGCGTTTAATAAAATGCATCCGTTTAACTAGCAAATGTTTTTCATTTCATGACGAACGGATTTGTAATTCACTTGTTACGATTTTGCTTCAGCGTCTTCCCAAGGATTGCTTTCTCCAAAGGACCGATTCGAAGACCTGCATTTATCCAAAATATCACTGGAAGAATACAGACTTACCAAAAGGGTGCGCCGAATCTCAGAAATGTCTCATAGTAGTTCCACAGCAGCCATTGTAAGTGCATTTCCTTTCAGAAAAAAAATTATCTTTTCATAAAATAGATAATATCCTAAATATTTTTGTAATATTCAAGTTTATTTTCCACTCAAAGGTCGTAGATTACAAAAACGATCTGAGCCTTTTCATAATAAAAATGCAGCAAAAATACGTTGAACAGCAGAAAACTAGTGTAATATTTACTTTTTTGTTATATGCCTGCCACAGGGAGGAAATATCTTTCAACTATGTATAGCCTTGTCATAAACCAGCTTTATAATGTAATAGTGATACCGACTAATGAATCTTCCATATCTGTTACATTTTATTTCAGTCATGACATTATAAATTACTACCAGTGTGTGAGTGGACCTTACATTTTCGTCTGCCATGTCTGAAAGATTTATCTACCTCTACCAACGGAGTGAATGCATATATATATATATATAATATCACACATTGAGTGCTTGTATTAATAAAATAGTGCTCGATGTAAAATAACAGAGCTATAATTTTTATATATATATATTATACATTTTTCCCTCAGCAGTAGCACAACTCTGAGTTTCATGCACAACACAATCTTAGGGTGCTGATTGTATTTCAATTAAAATTCTATTTCTGTAGTTGGTGGTATACAAGTGTGGATGTGTGGTTGTGTACAGTTGTTTATAAGTATATATATTATTTAATGCTTTTTTCCTATTTATTTATACTTGTTTTTAATTAATTTTTTTTTTTTTTACAATTATTATTTTTTAAAAACAACCTCATAAATAATATGGGTTTCTCCACTATTACTATAGTCCGGTATATATACCAAATTTTAATTTAGTTACGGTCAGTTTTCAATCACTAACACCTAATATATATATATATATATATATATATATATATATATATATATATATATGTGTATATATATATATACACACACATATACACAATCTAAACACCAAAACCAACCACAACTGTGTATGTATACATAATCAGACACATGGATACCTGTTTGCACCCACTCCTACACTGTTCATATATGTACATGCATGTGTGAACTACAATATGTGCACCTGCATTCATATATGTCTGCATATGTATGAGTGCCATCCTGAAAATGACACAGAGGAGAATTTTTTCCGCCCACTACCATCAAACATCACCAAACATAACTAAACAGAAACTGAAATAAATAGATTCAAAATTTTTAAAAATCAGTTTGTCTGACGATCGCAAGAGCATGAAACTCAAAGTCATAAACTTACATCAATACAACTAAGTATGTTAGCTCTATCACTTATGTTGAGCACTTTCCAGTAAGTACCCCGCATATATATATGTAAATAATATATATAGAAATTACATATATACATACATATTATTAGTATATATATATATATATATATATATATATATATAGCATAATGAGAAGACACGTATACTTTTTTAATATGTATTTATAAAAAAAATAATTATTATTTTTTAATTTGCAACTTTTAGTTGTTTTATATATATATATATATATATATATATATATATATATATCTCTATTAATTCATTAATTCATGTCATATTCATATTGTCATTTTACAGATATATTTTTAGTTATATCTGGATTTTTACCCCACACTATATATATATATATATATATATATATATATATATATATATATATATATAGTTTTAATGTGTGTGTATTTATGTAAAAGTGCCTAGTATCAGGGATAGACTGTATATAAATATAAAACATTGAGATCAATGCCAAGCGGCATATAGTCTGTTTCATGGAAATAGTGGAATAATTTTCATCTGACGTGTCTCGTCCAGTAAGACTTCTTCAGACAAAAGTGATCTTTATGTTGAAGCGATTCCAAATGTGCACAAAGAGAAGGGATCGCTGAATTCTTTTTTAAATATACATTTGAGATAGATAATCCAGCTGATTTTGTTTAGTTATTTTTTCTTTTTGCTTATGTTTTTATCACATTTGTTATTAAATATCCCATATTCAGATAACAAAAGATTTGCCAAGAAAAATGTTGTAGGAATATGGATGTAAATTTACTATGGATGGTCTAGTGATTAAAGCACTTTCTATACATGTTACTAAGTAAAATGCTTTCTCTTTTAATCAAAGTAAAAATTTTAAATGAAAATTATAGTCAGACTCATTACACTGATCATCTAAGGAATTGGATGTGTTATTTAAAAAAAGTCTTTTGTTTTCACACAAACTTTTATTTAAATTCTTTGAGGTTTCATCTATGTATTGCTTGTGGCATTTATTACAGGTGATAAATTCCTTCTTCAAGTTTTAGCTTATTATTTTGTTTTGTATTAATTAAGACTTTTATTTCTTAGAAGTAGTTGTAATTACTTTTTCATTGTCCGCTCTCCTACATGTGCATATGTAGTTGCATCAACATAATCTTCACATTAGTTCAATGAAGTAGTAAAGGAAGAAACACATTAAATGAAAACTTTTTCCATTTTCTGATAGATATCCCTACAATTGCTTTTGATATATAAAAATTCATGTCATTTTTCATTGTTTTTTGTTAAAACTCACTGCCCCAAACCCTTATGTCCCAATGTGATACTTAAAGCAAATTCAATTCTGATATGACACTGCTGCTTGTTTTAATATAATTCCTTTATTACTTAACATAACATTATTTCATTATTCCATAACATAATTCCAATATTCCCTAATATAACATTATTCCATAACATAATTCCAATATTTCCTAACATAACATTATTCCATTGTTCCATAACATAATTCCAATATTTCCTAACATAATATTATCACATTATTCCATAACATAATTCCAATATTTCCTAACATAATATTATCACATTATGCCATAACATAATTCCAATATTTCCTAACATAACATTATTCCATTATTCCATAACATAATTCCAATATTTCCTAACATAACATTATTCCATTATTCCATAACATAATTCCAATATTTCCTAACATAACATTATTCCATTATTCCATAACATAATTCCAATATTTCCTAACATAACATTATTCCATTGTTCCATAACATAATTCCAATATTTCTTAACATAACATTATTCCATTATTCCATAACATAATTCCAATATTTCCTAACATAATATTATCACATTATTCTATAACATAACAATATTTCCAATTATTTTCCATAACATAATTCCAATATTTCCTAACATAACATTATTCCATTGTTCCATAACATAATTCCAATATTTCTTAATTAACATTATTTCATTAACCATAACATTATTTCCCCAACAAAAATATTTATTCCATAACATAATTCCAATATTTCCTAACATAACATTATTCCATTATTCCATAACATAATTCCAATATTTCCTAACATAACATTATTCCATTGTTCCATAACATAATTCCAATATTTCCTAACATAACATTATTCCATTATTCCATAACATAATTCCAATATTTCCTAACATAATATTATCACATTATTCATTTTCCAATATTTCCTAACATAATTCCAATATTCCATCACATAATTCCAATATTTCCTAACATATTATTCCATTGTTCCATAACATAATTCCAATATTTCCTAACATTAACATTATTCCATAACATAATTCCAATATTTCCTAACATAACATTATTCCATTTGATAACATAATAACATTATTCCCTAACATGACATACTTCCATTATTGACTAGCATAAATAATTCCATAATTTCCTAACATAACATGCTTTCATTATTCTCTGATATAGTATAATTCCCTTATTCCCAAACATAACATAATTCTGTTATCTGCTAATATAATTCGATTATTCTATAACGTAACATACTTCCATTATTTCCTAACATAAGATAATTTCATTATTCCCTAAAATAACCTAATTCCATTTTTCCCTAACATATCATAATTCCATAATTCCCTAAATAATATGATTCCATTATTCCCATAAAATAAAATAATTCTATTATTCCCTAACATAACATAATTCTTTAATTCACTAAATAATATAATTCCACTATTCCCTAACATAAAATAATTCCACTATTCCCACTACTCCCTCACATAACAAAATCCATTATTGACTAACATAAGATAATTCCATTATTTCCTAACATAATTCCATTATTCCATAACATAACATAATTACATTATTCCTTAATGTGACATAATTCCATTATTCCCTAATATAACAGTCTTCCATTATTCCATAACATTAGACAATTCCATTATTCCTTAACAAAACATTTCATTATCCCCTAAAATGGCACAAGTTTATTATTCTCTAACATGACATAATTCCATTTTCTATAACATAATTCCATTATTCCCAAACAAAGAATAATTCCATTATTTTCAAACATAATGTAATTCCATTATTCTCTAACATGACATAATTCCATTTTTCTCTAACATGATATAATTCCATTTATTCCCCAGCATAACATAATTCCATTATTCCATAACATAAAATAATTCCAACATTACATTTTCACTAGTTTGTTGTTTGCCGTCTCAGTTCTAAAATCGCAACCATCAGGTTGTTTTTGCAAGCTACGAACGTTATTCAATTGTATGTAAAAAATAAAGTAAAATAAAGAGCATTAAAATATATTTTATTCCAAAGCAAATATTTATCTTTGTCTTCTTTTACTCTTGCACTTAAATTCAACTACTGTGTCTGGCTCTGAACTGAACTGAACTGATCTTTCTTCATTCAGTCATACTTTGACTCAGTTTTGCTACATTACTCCATTTATTTGACATAAAATCTATGCAGATTTAATAACAGTTGGAGAATGTAAAAGCGATAAAAAGAAAAAAAAATAATAATTCGAAAAGAAAAAAACTAACGAAAAATCACTAATGACTATGTTTCCTCTAAACCAAAAAAAAAATTTTTACTGGCTGACACTGGGTTATCTCCCTTTGCAATAGCTATGTAAATTAGGTTGTCTCCTTGCATTGACGAGTTTATATATATATATATATATATATATATATATATATATATATATATATATATATATAATTATTTATTTAATTTCTTTTTGAAGATGGAACAGAGCTTACTTTAATTCAATTTAATTGAAATAATTATATTGAAGTTTTCGGCTCTTTGTTTTGAAACATGAGAACTCTTATGTAGCGTGTTGGAATCATATTTTTTTAAATAAATAATTATATTTTTGCTCTACTTTTGTATCGAGCACTATTTTTTGAAAAATAATAACAAAAATACTAAAGAACTTTGGATTATTTACCTTACGAGTTCTTTCCTATTTTCTATATATTTTCACACACACACATATATATATATATATATATATATATATATAAAATTTGAGTATGAAAATATAGAAATGTAATTAATAATTATAATGTGGTCATGAAAGAAATGTAAGTGTTTTTAAAGAATTATTAAATAACTCTTTATTCAAATGTGGCAGTTGCTTTAATATTTATTGTAATTATTACATAATGACTTTTACTATATGCTTTCAGCAATATTGGACCTTCAGGCCTTCAAAAATTGGTGTGAAAAAGGACATTTTTTGCCCTTAACACCACTATTATTTTAACTACCTTCACTCCTCGGCAATGTTTATTGTTTAAAAAAGCAATGATTAGAATTTTAATAAAACCTAAACATATGAAAGTGGATTTATACATTTTCTTTGTTCTTCAGAAAACAAAAAATATTAAACACTATTTGTCTGATTGCTTATAGAAGTGGTTGGTAAAACATTGGCTAATTAGCAATCAATTCAAACTTTATAAAATGGAAATTAACAAGGGTTTTCTGATAGTTGGCTCACATTTTATAATTTAGTAAATATTTATAAATTTATGAATAAAAAAATTGTTTTCATATTTATTTCTTTATAAATTGGTAAATGATAAATATTGAATTGCATTAGTTTTTTTTTTAATACAACTGAATTAGTTGTAAATATAAAATTATTCTTGAAAATAAATAATCTAACAAATAAATAGTGTTTAATATATTGATTGTTAATTCTCAAGAACAAAAAAATTATAAATTCTCTTTCATCATACTTTTAGGTTTTATTCCTGTTCTAATCATCACTTTTAAAACAAACATTGTCAAGGAGTGAAGGTAATTATAATAATAGCAGTGTCAATGGAAAAGTGTCCTTTTAACACACCAATTTTTTTGATAAAACAAAGGTCCAAGTATGCCAAATTTTCTTTAAAACTAATTGGTTCAAATTTAAAAATTAAAACTTTTTAATCTGTTTATAACATTAACTGTATACTCTGTATTTATAATTTCAAAATACAAATTCAGTATCAGTTATTGATCTATAAAATCATCTTGTGTTAATTTTAGATTTTTAAAAAACCCAGTATTGATTATAAGCTTTTAAAAAAAATAAATTTAGGACTAATTATATATTTCTAAAAAAAAAATAAAACCAGTATCAATTATAGTTTTCTAAAAAAATAAATCCAGTATTAATTATTGGTTTCTAAAAAAATAAATTTAGCGTTAAGTACAACTTTAAAAAGAAAATAAATCCGGTATTAATTATAGGTTTCTAAGTAAACCCAGTATTAAATGCTTGGTTTCTTTAAAAAAAAATCCAGTATTAATTGTAGATTTCTAAAAAAAAAAAAAAAAAAAAATGAAATCCGTTAAGTATTGTTTAATAAAAAAATATTTTTTATAGCTTTCTACCTATAACCCAATAATGGATTAAAATGTGAAGAGTTATTTCCCTTGCTTAGTCTCACTTGGGAGACATTGGCGAAAACAGTTCGAGCAAATGTTTGTTTTTTTCCCATCTGCATTACAGCAATAAGTTGAATGATTTTCATCTTCGTAATTATTTAAAATGAAATGCTAAAATAATAGTCATTATTATTGGTTGCAAACAGTCCGCTTTCTACATTTTCTAAATTTGTGTTCTTGACAATATTTATTATATTGGATTTATCGAATTGGATTTTCGAAAGATCGATTTGTTTCATTTCATATTTTAGGATACAGCCATTATGGAGGCAAACAGAAGAAAAGAATCAATACGAAAGTCAAAAATAAAAGAAATTTGTTCATCCTTCTTTGACTTTTCCATCCTAAAGAACCCGGATATTCTTTTATTATCAATGACTTACATTTTTTGGTCAGGTAAGTCTCCTATAACAGAAGCACATTGCAAATGATAAGGCCGAATTATATCGGCTTGAAATGTTTCATTTAAAAAGAATAACATTGAAATATTTAAACATAAGACATTTCCGCCTTTTTTCATTTAGTTTCATGACATAGAACAAGCATTTAAAAGAAAATGATAAATGCTCTTAATTAAATTAAGGAATTAAAGCCAAATAGAAACAGTGATTCTTTGGTTAAGATTGGGGGATAACATAAGGAACTTGGATATAAAAGATAGACAAAACAAGAATAAATGAATGTATTTTCGATTTTATGTGCAAACCTAATCTACATAAACAGTTAAATATACTTAATTGTTTAGACGAAAGTGGCTCACGCAGAGGCTCTAATTGGTTAAGCATCTCACCTTTCAAGGTCTTCTTCCAGATAAACACTATAGGTTTCGCCTCTCTAGGTCAACTGTCGAAGTGTTAACGGATATTGCTGAAAGAGTCTGTCATTTTTTTCATAAGAATGCTAAAGTTCGAATTGTTGCCTTAAAAACTCCAGCGAACCACCTGATCCGTGCAAATGTCGGCTTATTAGATTTCTATAAACTTTTTGGCAAAGAACTACAGGCTCTAATTTACTATGAATTGGGTTAAGTATCTCACGCCGCAGAGACTTCTTTCAGACAATCGATATGGTTTTCGCTTCTCAAGGTCAACTTCTGATGTGTTAACGGTTATTGTTGAAAATTGTCTATTAAGCTTTGGATAAGATTGGTGAAGTTCGGGCTGTTGATTTGGATATCGTCTGACAGAATGTGACGTGCTGGTTTTCGCAACTTAAAAAGTTACGGTGGTCATTTCTTTGATTTGATCTTTCTTATTAAATCACGAAATAGAAGCTGTCTTGAACGGCTAATTTTCTCGATCTTTCTACATTAATGCAGATGTCGCCCAATGCTCTATCCTTAGCCCTACCCTTTTCCTTATTTTTATGAACGATCTTCACAGCATTATCAGTTCCCGACTCCGTATTTGTGTCGATGAAACAATTATTTACTCCTGTCTTGGGGGGTAAGTTTGATAGATTTGATAAAGTCAAATTGGCAACTGATTTCGAAAATTTAATTTATTGTTAACTGGGGAAATAAATGGTCTAAGATTTAACTTTAACTCCTCCAAAACTAAACTGCTCTCTTTTACTCGTCTTAAAGAACCTATTTTTGCTTTCTATCAGTATGGCTGATGCTAACCTAATATAGAATCAATTGTTAGATCTGCTGCTAGAAAAACTGATTCACTGTGTTGTACTAGACAATTCTTCTCTTCAGAAACTACCTTGCCCGTCTAATGTCTACCATTCGTCCGAGCATTAGTGTTGCTATATCTGGTCTGGTGCTTTTGTTAGATATCTAGAGAATCTTGTCAGAAGAATCTGCAATGTCATCGGTCCTGACCTGGCATCTTGCCTTTCATCACTTTCCTACCTCTGTAAAGTGCCTTCGTAGTCGTTTTTCTAAGCTTTCCTTTTTGGTGCCTCGACTTCACGAATTTAAGCGCAGTACTAGATTAACAGTTAGGTCTCATCATTTTTACTGTTGAAATTACTGAATGCTAACATAAGTTCTCTGATAGATAGGTTCTTCTCTCGCACTTCTCGCGTATGGAACTCTCTTCTAGCTTCTAGTGTGCCTTCTTGCTTTCAATTGTTAAGTCTGCTGCTAAGAAAGTTGGTTCACTGTGTCGTGCTATACAACTCTTCTAATCTGAATTTATCTTGTACTTTTATAATTTTATCATTCGACCGTGCATTGAAGATCGTTGCCACATCTAGTCTGGTACTTCTGTTATATATCTAGAGATTCTTGTCAGAATCCAAAGAAGAATCTGCAATGTTAACTGTTCTGACCTAGCATCACTTTCCTACTGTTGTCTTTCGGTTTCTTGCTTTCCTGCCAACCCATTATGATCATTTTATTCAACTCGCGCATTCTTACGATGCTCTTATGACCACTAACCACCATCTCACAATTGTGGTTCATAGTGACGTCCAAGGTAGAATAGTGTAATGGCTTGTCGGTTTCTTTAAAGTTGAGGATGTTCTGGTTGCTTGAGTTTTAGTCTCTCCTATCAGAAATTAAAGAGGCACGACTTACAAGGCAGCAGGTGGTTCGAATTCAATTTTCTCTCTCCTAGACCAGTTGCCAACCAAGACTATATATCCATAATCAAATAATACCCATGGGGAAGGTTTGAATCAATCTCCTCCCACCATAGTTGGGGAAGGGACAAGATTGATTCATACCTTTCCCAAGGCTATTAGGACGTAAGTGAATGCAATGAACTCAGCTGAAATTCGACCTCGGCTCACCGATTTCTCAATCCGAACCGCTATCCACTACTCCACCGTGCCTGTCAAGTACAATTTTAAAACAACGAACGCCATATTTTGTCTCCTTGAGACGTTTTCTCACTTTTTTTTTTTTAATTCTCAGTAACCACTTGAGTTTTAGTCGATTTTATCGCATTTCTTGGGGTGAAATATGCTGAGGGAAGAGCGATTAACAAGCAGATGAATGTGTATGTGTGTGTGTGTGTGTGTGATTTTCAGTGTTTGTCTAAATAGATAAAAAGGTATATTGATGCAATATATGTATGATGATATATCTATGCATTTGTAAAGATAAATTTTTATTTTATTTTCATAAATTTGTAAAAAGGGAAAAGTATCCTTTACAATAGCATTCTGCCGATTTCACTGACAGTCCTGTTTTTTTCATTCTTTATTCTTTCATTCTTTATTCTTTCATTCCTTATTCTTTCATTCCGTATTCTTTCAATCTTTATTCTATAATCCCTTGTTCTGTATTCTAATTCTATTCTTGGTTTCTTCATCCAATCCGGGTTCCTACTTTTTTATCCTTCATCTAGATTGTCATTATTGCTTCCTCCTTGTTATTTTTTCTTGATCCACTCTTTCTTTCTTTATTCTTCATTCCTGTTTCATTCCCCCATTCTTATTTTCTACTTGTTCTTCATTCCAATTCTATTCTTTCATTCTTGCTCCCTCCTTCATTAAACCACCCACTGTTTCTTTTTTTGTTTCCTTCTCGCTCTTTCATTCCTGATCCCCTTTTTCGTTTTCTTTTCTTCATTCCTGTATTATTCCTTCATTCTTATTGTTTTCTTGTTCTTCATTCCAATTCTATTCTTTAATTCTTGTTTCCTCCTCCTCCTTCATTCACCACCCATTCTTTCTTATGTCGTTAGCCAACCAAATTCCGATGGTCTATCTGCCGGCGTATCTGTTGTCCGTTGGCCAAAGTAAAGATGAAGCTGCTCTTCTGATGTCCATCTCGGGAATCACATGTACCATTGGCCAGTTCCTTGTTGGTGCCCTTGTCGATTTCGCCCACATCGCCAGCCATTATTTATTGACGCTGTCTCTGATCCTCCTCGCCACGCTTACATTTGCCGTGACGTTAATCAGTGCTTTTTGGTCTTTCACCGTCGTCGTCATCTTCTGGTCAATTGCTCTTGGTAAGTGGTTGACATTTTTTTTTCCATATATTTATTTAGCACTACTTTAATATACTGGCCTGCTCATAAAAAATGCCAACATTTATTTGGGGAGGGATACTTTTTGTCAATTAGCATTCTTTAGACATTTCTTGTCCTAATCGAAACATTGCCTTGTTTTAGAATCGGAGTTCTTTTTCTAATATCAATACAGTGCCAAATCATGAACATAAAACTTGGAACCTTAAAACTAATGTTCTTCTTTCTTGTCAGCCACTGACGTTGCTGTTATTATTGTCGCTCTTGACCGCATTCGCCACCGCCATTATTTTCATACTGCTGCTGCTTCTGAAGCCTTGTAGTTATTTATCTTTATTAATGGTTCACGTGAAGAAGGCCGGATAGCACAACGGCTGAAACTTTGTGATAATAACAACAATGATGAAGACATTCATCCGAATAATAATAATGATAACCAGTTATTAAAATGTAGGTCGTTTTAAAAAATAATTGTCTCTTTTTAACTATTTTTTAGGGTTTGGTATATCTTTGCGAGTAATTGTGACTATGGATCTTACTGGAATGGATGACTTTTCACGCGGTTACAGTCTGCTCATGTTATTTAATGGTATTGGTTATGCTACGAGTCCACCATTGTCTGGCAAGTAAAATTGATTTATTCATGTTTTCGTCTGGACGTCACGATGTTCTTAACGGTTAGCGGTATGGAAAACAGAATCAGTACTACTAGTCTTGGAAAAGGTACTACTTCATTTCTAAACCTACTCCCGCACAAGTTATGGGTAAATAGTATAGGAGAGTTATAAAGTTATAAGTAATTGAAAAGTTGTAAAATAAACCCCTGCTATATCTTTACAAGAATGCCAAACATTTATTCGCACACACAAAAACTCAAAAAAAAAAATTTAACGAAAATGATTAGATCACATGCCCAGTCAAATATTAAAAACTAATTTAAAAGATTAAAATGTCAGTGTCTCTTCGTGCACATGTGAAATTACAATGAGCGGGATTACCACCAGCGTCGTCAAAACACAAAACATTTTTGAACTTTCTCATTAATTTTCCTACTTGCCCAAATATATCACACATATATATATATATATATATATATATATATATATATATATAATAGACTCTCCCCATCGATTTCGACGTATGAGGATCTGACAACTTAACCAATTGATTCAGTTATGAATTTTGTGCGATAATCTTAAGTGGTACTTAAGAACCGCTAGTGATTTGCAAATGAGGCCGCATATGGAGCAAGAGTGAGGATTGTGGGATGAGATCACTGTTAGATTGGCTGGCCTTTTAGATATTGCTCTCTCTTCTTGAAGATTCAGACTAGCAGATTGAAAACTGCTGAGTCCACTAAGACACGTTGATCTCCACTCCACCCGCTCCAAGGCTAATCGCTTGAGGGTGTTATGAGGTATATTGACAGCTGACAAGTTGCTCTTGTTGCGGTGGATTGGTCATGTCTTGAGAATATCTGATGATAAGATACACAAGATCCTAATGTACAGCCAGTTAGATCAGGACTACAGGAATGTAGGACGCCCATGGCTTAGATACAAAAACTATATATATATATATATGTGTGTGTGTGTGTGTGTGTGTGTGTGTGTGTGTGTGTGTGTGTGTGTGTGAAATGGATTAAATCATGTATTCTGTACTTCCGAAAAGTGTAGTTTGTTCTGCACAAACCTTCACTACAATAATCAAATTTAATATAGGTGTAGTCTGGCTGTTCGGTTCTAACTACTGATTTACTTGACACGCATGCGCCGAAAACGATAGTAGAGTTCACACCCACATTCACTCCCTTTCTTTTCACTACCAATAGCCCTTTGCATCTTAGTGGCATTATCGCCTTGCTTTTGGTGATTTGATTAAAAGAAATTAGGCAGCAAATATTCTTTGAAGCAAATATTATGAAAAACGATTAATTTTAATGAGCGACTTTTTCAAATTACGAATAATCCTGAGATAAGGAGGAAATTTAGTCAGAAATTGTCCGAAATTCATTTCAGACGAAAAGTACAAGAAATATGGTTCAAGCTTTCGACTTTCTTCAAGCTTTCACCGTCAGGGTAGATAAAGGGTATTTATTCTGTAACATACAGAATTATGGCACAAGGCCGGGCGAGAAAACGGGGTGGGGATGGTCTTCATTAACTATCCTAGTCCTAATTAATCAGATTCGCGACCCATTCGCGACCCATTCATTCATTACAATTTGCTCATTCACCAAAAGAACTTATACATCACCTCTCGATCTTGCATACACCAAAATACCGCATATTCACAGGGGGGCCTACAAAAACATCCCATGGGATAAATATCTCATGAGAATCGAAAATACCCTTTTTTTACTTTTTGATTTTTTTTTTAAATATCTAAAAATTTCATGGTTCATGAATTAATAGGGGAGGGTAAAAGAAGCCCAGAAAACAAACTAAAATGTAACACAAAAATAAATCAAAGCAAATATTAGTAGGACCCGTACACCCCTCAAAATAATATGAGAGGCCGCTGTATTCTGCCGCTAGTTTTGTACAACTACTGTGTTGTGACGTCGGCAAAGAGTGTTGTGACATGAAAAGGTGTGACGTGTTGTTTATTACAACAACAACAACAGGGAGGAAAAGAGAAAGGGTATTTAGCGCGTAAGTAAATGCAAGGAACAAAGGCTGGAAATCGAACTTGGTTCTCCTATTTCAAAAATTGGAGCCACTATCCATGATACTTCACCGCATTCATTTTTTTTTTTTATCTTGGGCGCTTCCAAAATCTCTTTTTTTTTACATTTTTTTTTAAAAAGAAATGCGCCAGTTCGAAATATTTTCAGTCCTTTTGTTTACCAATATATAACATTGTCCAATTATGCGACTTTCAGTTTCCCATCTATATATATATATGTGTGTGTGTGTGTGTGTGTGTGTGCGCAATTTGATGCGTGCCTCCGTCACCACCCCCCTCCCCAAATGGCTTTATCCGAGAACCTAACCTTTTCCTAATTTTCCTCAGTGATCATCCCGATGCTAACATTTCTCGACTCAGTATCTATGCTGAACACATAATTATTTACTCTTGTCTTAAGGGCAAGACTGATAAGTCAAATTAGCGGCCGGTTTCGCAAATTACTTTTAATTTATTGCTAACTGGGGCAAGAAATTGCGTGTTGATTTTAACAATTCAAAAACTAATCTATTCTATTTTAATTAGGTGTCTTCACAGTCTCGCTAAAAAATGAACATACCATGATGAAAAAAATTTCCCAAACGTAATAAATACAAAGTTTTATCTTTGTTATTAAAAGAAAATATCAAAGAAGTTTTTGGTTATCAAATTAGATTTTTTTTTTTTTTTTTTTTTTTAGAACGTTTTAAATTTTTTGTTAAAAATCTTGTTTTTTTCTTTCGTCAGCGGTGGAGAACCAAGGATTAGTATAGGAAATTTTAGCGCCTAATTGACAGATTGTAATCAAAACTTACGGACTTATTTACAAGTGAATTAAATTATTTTAAAAATGTCCCTCTTTCAGAACATCTTGGCATAAACATTTCTTTTTTGTATTTGTTTCCCCCAACTTATTTAATTTTATGAAATTTCGAGAAATTAATCTTTGTACCGCTTAATGTCTATATCAGTTATACGCAAAACTCCTTAAAGAATGCAAATCATCAATTTTTTTTATTTTATTTATTTATTTTTTTTTTTTTTTGGTAAAAGAGCTTCTCCAGTTAGCGAAAATTATACTTATTACAAAACCCAGGTTGTGTGTGCGTCTGTTTCGTTTATATATTGGATCGGATTTCCTACATTTTTCAACCGATTTCAACAAAAATTCACAGGACTACGTAAAATTACCTTGCGGTGGTTCTGACAGAGCCAAAAATTGGAAAAACACAAATGTTTTTGCACGAAACTAATTTGAAAACACGATTAAGAGGCATCGCTATCGCGAGAATAAAAGGGGGACAACTCATATCGAGTCATACTTATTATAAAACGCAGGGTGTTTGTGAGTGTGTGTCTGTGTTCGTTTATATATGGGATCGGATTATTCAACCGATTTCAACAAAACTTCACTTTTTTTGGCAGGTAGTGTTTCTTATTGTCTTGCACACTTTTTTCATTATTTTTACATTCAGAATGCTTTTAAAATTCCATTTACAAGACAATTGTTTATAATAAAATTCTATTCAACCGGTAGACTCATAACGATTGAAAACAATGCTTTTGTTTGAGTTTGGGTTTGACCAATTCGTAAAAAAAAACAAAACAAAAAAAAAACAAACAAAAAACTAATTAAGACATGCGTGTCCGTCAACCTTAAACAATAATCTTTGTCAATTTTATTTTTCAGTCTTTATGATGGTCGATACTTGATCTATCTCTTACTGTTACATCCCCGGGCAACGCCGGGCTCTTCTGCTAGTCTGCTCTAAATCCTAAAATAAAAATAAAAAACGCAATGAAACTAAGACATTATTTAATTACAAAAGTTTTTAATTACTTTTATGAATAAGATATATTATGGACACTATTGTTTTCAGAAACATTTTCTACAAGAATTTTCATTTATTCATTTAAAGTTTTAAATCTTTTAAATTTCTGTATTAAGTTTTACCGATTAGGTGACATTTTTATTATATAAAAACTATATTTACTCATGAATGAATATATTTACTCATAAATGGAAAAGCTTCCTACAATTCTGGGACCCCGATATTTTAAAAAGATTTTCAATTTTTTTGTGTGGATGTGTGTGTATAAACGTGCCGATTTTTGTAAATACGGACGTCCATACGCGATATTATCAGAAAATAAGAGCGATAACTATCATAAATTTAAAGCCAAGGTACCTAAACGTCAATAAAACATTAGATTGCGGAGAATATTCTCTTAAATTTTTCAGATTACTATGTAGTTAAAAATTTTAAAAAGATGCTTACGTTATATCCCATATGCAATTTTTACAGATATCTCCGCCGTAGATAAAAATTTGATAAATTACCGTCTGTCAGTCAATCTGTCACACTGTCAGTGCCTTAAATAAACACATACCTCTGTAAAAAAAAAAATGCGTTTCTGCGATATTTAAAATTAAAAGTAAGTAATGTGTGTTTCAAATCAGATTAATTAAACTTTAAATCAGCTAATATTCCTCAAATAAAGCTTCAGAAAATGATATTTTATTACTGAAAGATTTTTTTTAATAATCTGTAATTACAGATGGTTACAATGGTGGTAAAATCAGCGAATTTTAGCACTTCCAAAACAAAAACTCCTTCCTGTCAATTTAAATTAATTTTGAAATGTAGCAAAGTATTTTACTTATTGGAAATATTAAATTTAATCTATTAGCTTGAAATTAAAACTAAAATAAAAGCTTCAAGAAAGAATTTTCATTTTTTTTAATTCATTTTAAACCTTAAGTATCGCATTTCTTTGGCGGTACCAACTTTTAAGCTTAGAGAGACTTTTTTCTGATTTTTCCTGATGGAAAAAGGTTAACATGTTTAATGTTTTTTCAAATAATATGAAAGGCAGGAAAACCACCTTATCAGAAAAAATTGTTAGGTCTGTCTGCTACTATAAAAAATGGTTCACTGTGTTATGCTAAACAATTCTCATCA